GTTTACTCTAAATTTACATTCAGAGATCTTTTAAGGAATCATTGCCACATGTCCAGGTGAAGCCTTTTTCAGTGCCCTGTGTGAACTAGCTAGATTTTTTTTAATGGTTCATCCTTAGCTACACCCAGTCAGTAGGGAGGGAAAAGAACTTCCTTGTACTCTAAGATAGAGTTGGACCAATTATTTTCTCATTGGAGAACACAGGTGTGTCAATATATAAGTAAATATATACATATAATGTATACATTTATAATAAATAATATATAGTAAATATATATAGAGAGACTATATATTCTATAGCATGTCTTCATCTGCAGCATTGCTGATAGGAAAGTCACTCCATATGAACCAAACAACTCTAGGGATCATATAATCTATGGGAAAATCTGAAGACCCACCACTTAGCTTAAGATCTGTGGTGTTCTTCAAATCAAAACAGAAATGAACATTTTAAAAAAATCAGTATGTATTCATTTCTCAGTTTAAAGTCATGAGCGAAAAACTGACAATAACATCTTTTATTTATATTTGAAAAACCTTATTTTACATGGGAGCTAAGGTCATTCATACAATCTCTTTAGGACACATGAGGAGATGATACTTCCCACAGTGATTGCATAGGGAGCCCATGGGCCTGACTTAGTTGAGTAGCTGCATTTATATTTTTTTCCCTTCCTGATTCTTTTTTAGTCAAATATGGAAAATGATCTTTCATTTTTACCCAGAGAAGTTGGGTACTATTGCTGTACATTTTATTTAGACCCCATTGCCTTTCTCTTCATTAATAGAAATAGTGCTTTAAAAATAACAGCTGGGGTTGTTATTGTGGCCATTATGAATGTTTCTTGTTTCAGAAATTCTATGTGAACATCCCACACAGTACTGACTATCGATGAGAGTCTTTACTGCTCTATTACTTGCTTAGATCAGACCCTAAGGTTCCCAGATTCCTATTGAGGAAAATAAGAAAGGTGTTCTTTGCTGCTAGCAGTCATTTAATTTTACATAAATACACTCTCTGAAGCTGAATAAAGACTGATTTGTTTTCAATGTGAAAAAAATATAAAAACTGTTCTTGAAATTATTTCTAAATAGAATTTGTCTCCAGTCTTAATGTAAAAAAGAGTACATGATGATTAGTATTTAACAGCATGTGTAGGAATGCTGTATTTTTAAAAATTTGACAGTTTCAGGCCAAAATACTATATTTATTATTTTGCTATATTTTATAAATGGACATACAGCAACTGAAACCAGCATACTATAAATAGTTTGATGTCTTTTCTTCCCAAAGACTGTTGTTCTATGAGTGTTGCAAAAATAATAATAAAAAGAAGATATTTTCATGTCCGATTTTGGAGTTGAAGTCGGGATGAAAATTCACAAGTTATCTTATGGTGTATGCTAAAGGTCAAAATCACCTCAGGTGAATATTCTTGGCATAAATGAGAAATTGGTTAAGAGAGACATGTTTTGACCATTTTTGAATTGGGTCTTTACTACTCAGCCATAAAGAATGAGAAATTAGATTCATTCATAGGAAAATGGATACATATTGAGGATATACTCCTAAGTGAAATATATAAGTCACAAATGTGTAAATACTGAATGGTGTGAATAAACTATAATAGTACATAAGATCCTAATGATATAATGGACAATGTGAAATAGGAAGTAAGGGCCTAAAGGGGTAGGGAAAGTGGGAAGGGTAGGGGAAAGCTAATAAGGGAAAAGAAAAAAATATTAGAAAATGAAAAAATGGAAATGAAGTGTTTGCAAATGAGGAGGTTAGGAAGGGTGAAGGGAGGGTAGGGACAAGGGGAAAAAATGAGAACCAAGACCTGTCATGTAAAGGTACAAGATCCCAATGATGAATGTAACTGCACTATATGCCTAAAATGTACCAATAAACTCAATGAGAAAAAACAGAGAGACATGTGTTTCCCTTCTCACAACACTATTTGTTTGTGCTTTGGTACTTGGGTCCTTGTGCTTGTTTGTTTGTTTTTTCAGACTGAGTCTTGCTGGCCTTGAACTCACTAGGTAGCCCAGGCTGGCCTATAACTCCTGGTGACCCCCTGCCTCAGCCTCCCTCCTGAGTACTGGGATTAGAGACATGCCCCACCATCTCCAGCTCTATTCATAGGACTTTCACAGTACTCATAGTTCTCTTGTAGCAGATGTTTACTGCAGAGGTACCATACTAATTCTTTTACATGACCATGACACTGATTTGCATAAGCAACTTTTTAAAGTATGTAATCTGATCATTGTTTTATACACAGGAAAAATGTAACTTGTTCAAAATCACAAATTGAAGAGGTTTAACTAGACTTGCATTCCAGAACTGTCTGATAGCAAAAGCTAATCACTTTAACCATCACTCTACCTTATAACTCAGCTGCTACCCAGAACTCGATAAGTCTACTGATCAGTAATGACATAAATAGCTTTTTTTGTTTAAGCACTTGTCACTACTTAACAAAGGCTGACTTCATCTACCTTAACCTCATAAGTTCTCCTGTGGAACTGGCTTCAGAGAGGCAAAGTTTATAGTTATAAAACACAGGGAATATGGCCTGCTATTGAGAGGATATTTGTACTGTATCATTTTACCTGAACAGTAAAAGTAAATTACCCTACCTGTTTTTATTTCTCTGGGGGTGTTGTCATATCAGTCTCTTCAGGAAGGATTAATGAGCAACTAAGTGGTTTATTTTGGTTGCCTGTTATAGTAACCTGTTAATGATTGTGCAAGTGTTTTATGTGGCCATAGATAATACGAAACAGTCTTAAACATCTAGTGTCCTAGATTGGCTCAGTACTCCTTCATACTTCCTGTCCTCTTATATCTCCACTAATAAAAAGTAGGTTACATAATGCAAACTGTTTACTTACAGAAATTTACTAATATATTTTCCTTCAATATTAGTGCAATTTAAGATTTTGCTCTTTAATAGAATAAATCTGACCTGTTTTCTGGTTGTAATGTCTACGAGATCTCCCACAAATGCCATGAATTTTATTCTGTTTATATCTTTATGTGAACTATATGTGCATATTTTTAACACTTTTAAATCATTAGTGCTATGTGGGCAAGACCTGTCCTAATTTATTTTTAAGCACATCACAATGCCAAGCACAGCATCTTGCACTTAGTAGATGCTTATTGAATGTTTGGCTTTGTGAATAAATTAGTTTGTACTAGACTGAACAGATTTTCAGTCCTAAATTTTTTGCCATCATTTTAGTTTGCATAATTAAAGTAGTTTTACTAAGATGATTAAAAATGTGTTATTGAATTACTAGTGTATATTCTAGAGCAGTGGAATAAAAAGACCCTGCCTACATCCTATGAGGGAACAGTGAGAGTGTTTTTCATTGCAGGTATATTCAGTAAGTTTTATTTTTTTTTAATTTTGGGGGTTTAAAAAAAATGTTTTGGTTTCTTGAGACAGGGTCTCACTATGTAGTTGACACTGACCTGGAACTCACTATGTAGCCTAGGCTGGTCTGGAACTCACAGCAATTCTCCTGCCTCATCCTCCCCAGTGCTGGGATTACAGGCATGTGCCACCACCTCCAGCTAAGTTTTATGGTAATTAATTTATTTCTCTTGAGAAGATTAGTGATTTTTATATAACGGTTTTTGTGACTTCTTGCTTTCAACCTTACTGTGCCAACTAAAATTTTCCTTTGGTAAAATAAATATTTACTATAGAGAATTAACTAAATATGAAAGTGAAAAGAAAAATTAAAATATTGTATTATTTGATCTTACCATCAAAACATAATTAGTCATAGTATTTTTGGGTAGTCTTTCTGTTTCTTATCCATGATTTCATATTGTCCATACAATTGGTATTATATATGTTTATATGTTGTATAATTTTAGTACTATAAATTAGCATTTTTCTAAAAAATTTAAATACTCTTTAAAGGTAGCTTTTGAATTGTAAGTATTCCTTTATATTGATGTTATATGCTTTTTAAAAGTATTTTGTATCATCAGACATTTAGGTTATTCATGTATGTAAGGTGGATTTTTAGAACTAAAATTAGTGAATAAAATGTATTGCTTAGTAACATTCCAAATGCTTTTTAGTGCTTCATGCTCCCATTGGAATTACAAATACTATTTTGTTGAACCATCATCAAAAGTTTATTATTTCTTCGTACATTTTAGCAAGTATCAAGCAGACCTATTGACTTTAATGTATTGCTAAAAACACCTCTCCTCTCAAAATTAAATATTTTGGTATAAACGAAGTATAAAATTTTTTATTTCAGAGATTTATTTTGGAGGTTGCATATTACAACACAACTTTCAATAGTTTTCAAGTCTGATTTCAAGTCTGAATACTTTCGTATAAGTGAAATTACATAATCTTTTGCATCAATTCCCCTATCATTCATTGGTAGTTTTATCAAAGTATATTGGGTTAAGGTATTGTGCATTATGTTTGATTTTTTCTTGTAATGATCAGTCTCATTTCTGTTTGCTGTCATAACAAAGTTTGTGAGCATTCCAAGTTTAATTTTATTTATGTAAGCATTTTTCTGTGGCCTTCCATTAAAGCACCTTTCTTTCTCACCAGTTAGCTATCCAAACTGAATGCAGATGAATCAGAGTAGTTTCATTTTAGAGAACAGCAGTCTTATTTGCATTAGGAAAGCATTAGTCTTGGAAGATTATAAACATTGTTTTTAAGTGTTTGCCTCATTCTATAGTGAAAGCATTTGCATTTTAGAAGCCATGGTGAAATTCTATCCCTTGCTAGTAGTTGTATTTCATAACACTGCTAAGGATCTGTATGTTTCTATTCACACATACAGTGATTTTAGAGTGATCTAAATATATTGTGGGGAACATAAAGTTATAAAATAATTCAACTTCTTTATGTGCTTCAGTCTTTCTCTGTAAAAATTGTTTCAACATAAATACTAGTTCTATTCAGTAAATTAATATGTATTTATGACGTATTTGTTTTGCATTTCAGAATACCAGCTAAATTGCAGTCTGTGTCTCATAGCTGAACAGGTATGTACGTGATTTACCTGTAGCTATGTAAACCTGTGGACTGAGGAGTTATTACATTTTTGAGTATTAAAATTTCTTATCAGTTGCATAATAGGAAAATGATTTTGAGTCCTGTACTTATAACTATTGACAACTTCAAAGAACAGTATGTTTTATACATACATTGAATTTCATTTTATTGTAAGACTCAGATAAACATTTCTAAGATTTGATGAGGCAGAATAATTTTAATTACAAAGCATTCATCTGGTGAAGATTAGACAGTATTTTATGGAACTGTACTATTTAAATGACTGATGATGTGGGGTTGGACTATTGCAGAACCACTACGGTTTTGACATTATTGTTTTGTTTTCAAACTTTTTTCTGTTTTTGAGTTTATTTTTTGTGAGTGTTGCTTTAGGTAAGGAGTGGTTGTCGATATAGTGTCTCCTGCATTGTCTCAAACACTAGACAAATGGGAAAAAGTTTGCACCTGTTTCAAATCTCAGCCGTGCGGTGTTGTGGCTCCTGGGCAACAAGCAAGCATTCTCAAAAGCTTGGTTGCACCTGCTCAATTGTTGTTTGCAGCTGTGTCAAATGAGAACACAGAGAAGCTTGTTAGCAGTTTGCTTGTGCTGTTACGTATTTATGTTTTGTGTACCCTGAGTTTGAAAATGCTTGATACAGACTTTGAGCTATTACATTGGTTTATGTTAAAACTCTCTGGTTTTAGTTCTCATTTATTTTCTCCAAATCCTTTTGTTGTTTCAAATATTTTTAAGTGGCTGATGACTGCCCTAAATAACGGCATACTGACTTCTACAAAAGATATCTGGGAGAGTAGATCTCTACAGATAACTATGTTGATGATAATTTTTGTCCTGGTAGAGACATTTTGCATTTGGCTCATTTTCATCATGTTGGCAGCCCCACTATGTGAGGCTGGATGTAGTTATTGATATAGTTAGCTGAACAGATTTGAAAGCATTTGGCTATTAGTGGACACATGGGGCATATTCAGAAAATTTAAGGGTATACTGTAAGATGATTTCTTGATTTGTGCATGTGTGTCTGTTGCTATCAGGCTGGATAAAAAAATGCAAATTAAATAGAATCCTAGAAGACAGACCACAATCCAGATGTAGGTTTTAAGGCTAGACTGTTATCCTTCAATCAAATGCTAGATACCTGGTGTTTTATTTTTCTCTAAGTCTTACTGGTCGTGGTATTATATTTCTTCTCATTAATGGCTTTATATGTATTCTCTGGCAAATATCTATATTTTAATATAGACAGTTATAAACTGTATTTCACAAGAGAAGTAAAGTTATCTTAATGTAACAAATCTGATATAAATGTAGTTAATTAATTTAGTCAGTGGTCCCAAATTCTTGATATTAAAAGTTTGTTCAGATGGCTTGCATTCTTTTTAATGCATAAAAATGTTTTATTATATTAAACATATATAAAAATGTTAAGGAGTTTCCATTAGTGTTTAGTAATGTAAAGCTTCAGTCTTGGAGCTGCTTTATCTTTTTCTTTTATTAGACCATTTGGAAGCCTTAAAAATAAAATAATATGAATTTATCTAGCCTCTTGGGGAATATGAAACATAACTACAAAAGCAAATAGAGGGTTGGCTGTAGCCTCTTAATACAGTGCCTTATACATTGTATTTGGCCAATGTTGAACAAATGAATGAACGTATAAATAAAGCATTCCTGGTGTTTATTAGAAATTGAGGGATAGTGTCCTACATATATATTACTTGTTATATATTTTGGATGAACCTCAAAAGACTGGTTAGAAAGAAATGAAAATATTGAAAATTTTTCTTGTAAAATATCAAATTAATAATAATCTGAACCTCTTTCATTGTTAGAGGTCAAATTATTAGAGAGATTAAAATATTACTAGAAATTTAAAAATATCAATATTTGCTTTATCCTCATTTTACTCTGAGAACAGTTTTTTTATTATCCCTATTACACACACAAGGCTGAAACATTAATGGTTATTTGTCACCTTGGAAACTCCTATGTAGTATAGGGATAAACAAATCTGTGTTGTATGACTAATGCCTTAACCTTCCTGAGCACTCACTATGCTTGCTCTCTATCTCCATCTCACAAAAAACACAAAAAGAAAATGTGTATTGACCTTTGGGTCAAGTAAGATTAGAACATATTTTAAAAATTGAGGCTGTTTTAATAAGCATAATAGTGGACTCTGTTTACTGTACAGAACATGTTTGTAATTATGGTTCTGATTACTTACAAAGTTCCAATTGTAAATGCATGAAGTCAAGCAAAAATAGGGTCAAATAGAGAAGCTAAGTTGTGCTTTGGATAGGCCCTTCCAAAGTTCCATTTTTTTCATGGTGTGATGCATTCACATAGGAATGGCTTATGTTGCAAAATGAATTGGTAATTATTGCATCAAAATGTCTTTTTTAGTCTTTTCAAATTTTGATACCACTTGTTGATAATATTCATGAGTACCTTTAGACTTAGAAGTAACTTTTGTTTGGAACAATTTTTTCTTTCCCTTCAGTTTATGTCAGTGTTAAAAGATAACATGGACATATATTTTTCCTCACAAACTTTAGTATGGTAGATTATACTGTATTACTCTGTTAGTCTCAACATTAGAAATTAAGAAATGAGCCAAGAATGTATAGTAGCTAGAGTATTAAAAATTAAACCAAACAGATATTAGCAGCTGCTTCAGTGGTCTGTATAAGAATTATTATGTGAAATCTAAAGGATAAATTTTCAAGCCCCAGGATTCCTATGCATAATTGCAGGTTTGCTTGTAATTTCAGGATTAAAGAAATAAAGGAAGAAAATCCACATTTAATCAGAACATAGCATGCCTAATGTACTTTTTTTCTTTTCTCCTTTCATAACTTCCTTTTTTCCTTATTTCTTTTATTCCATATGTTAAGGAAATGTCTACTACTTACTAAACATAGTGATAGGCTAAAGGAATAAAACAAAATCCTTGTCCTCAAAGATCATACAAGCTAGAGGGAGACAAAGATATATAAATAGGGTTTTTTTTTTTTTGTTTTTTTTGTTTTTTGCTTTACCATTTGTTAATAATATGGGCCTAGGAAAGTCTTTGTACTTTTTTTGTTCTCATGTGTAAAAGTGGAAAAATACAGTATCCATTTCATATTTTACTAGGCTAATTAAGTAACATATTACATGTAAATTCCTAGTCCAGTAGTTTGACACATAGCAAGCAGTCCATAAACCTTAGCTATACTGATATTATTTCTATCACCCCCACTACTATTACCTCTGCTTTTAAACACTGAACAAAGACTGCCTAATTGCCTTCAAGTAGAGGTCCTAGTCTGAGTGTTTTGCATAGACTGTCTCAGAAGCTTTGTCCAAAGTTATTACTACGTCTAGGCATTTAGGAAAGATTTTTTAAAAGCATATGTAAATGCATGAAATTTAAAAGACTTTCATGTATTCTTTTTATCATTTATCCAAATTTTTATTGTGGTAGAATACACATAACATAAAATTTACCAACTTACCCCTTTTGATCTGTACAATTCATTGCTTACATATATTCATAATGCTTACATAGTCATCACAACAACCTATCTCTGTAACTCTTTCATCTTGCAAAACTGAAAGGGTATATACATTTAAAAATAACTCTGCCTTCTTCTGTTTCACAAACTTCTGGCAACCCTTATTCCACTTTATGTCTCAATGATTTTCTCTACTCTTAGTCATATAAGAATCAAGTGGCCATTCTTTGTGGGGTGAGGTGAAATCTCAGTGTTGTTTTCATCTGCATCTCTCGAATGACCAGTGATGTGGAGCATTTTTTCATATATTTACTTGCTGCTTTTATTTCTTTGTCTGAGAAATGTCTGCTCATTTCAGATGCCCATTTTAGAATTGGGTCTTTATATTTGGGGGGGGTTGTTTTGAGTTCTTTATATATTTTAGATAATAGTCCTTTGTCTGAGGAGCAGCTGGTAAAAAGTTTTTCCCACATTGTAGGTTGTCTTGTAGTTCTGTTGATGGTTTCTTTTGCAGTGCAGAAGCTTTTTAATAAGATGAGATCCCAGTTGTTGATTCTTTCTGCTAGTTCCGGTGCTACTGAGGATTTGTTCATAAAGTCTTTTCTTGTGCCAATGTCTTCCAGAGTTCTCTCTAACTTATCTTCCAGCAAGTTTAGTGTTTTTATTTTTATATTTAGATCTTTAATCCACTTGGATTTTAATTTAGTGCATGGTGACAGATAAGAGTCTAGTTTTAATCTTTTGCAGGTTAAGATCCAATTTTTCCAACACCATTTATTAAAGAGGCTATCTTTCCTCCAATGGGGACTATCAGCGCCTTTGTCAAAGATGAGGTAGCTGAGTGCATCTGGATTTGTTTTTGTGTCAAGAAATCACACAATAACAAATGTTGGCATGGTTGTGGGGAGAAAGGAACCCTTCTCCATTGTTAGTGGGAGTGCATACTGGTGTAACCACTGTGGAAGTCAATATAGAGATACCTCAAAGAACTAGGATTAGAGGTTCTATTTGACCCAGCCATCCCTCTGTTGGGTATCTTTCCAAAAGAGTTAAAAGAATCATACCACAGTGATCTGTGCTCACCCATGTTTATAGTGGCACAATTTGTAATAGCTAAAACTTGGAAACAGCCCATCTGCCCATCAGTTGGAAACTGTATAAAGAAGATGTGGTTTTTCTATAAAATGGAATACTACTCAGCCATTAAGAATGAGAAAGTAGATTCATTCATATGTAAATGGGTACATTTTGAGGATATACTCCTAAGTGAAATAAATATGTCACACATATGCAAATACTGAATAGTTTCTCTGGTGTGAAAAACTAAACTAAAATAGCTCAAGATCCTAACAGGACAATTAGCAACGTGAAATAGGAAGAAAGGGACCAAAAGTGTAGGGACAGTGAGAAGGATAGGGAAAGGGGAACAAGGGAAAAGGAAAAAAATGTGAGAAAATGTAAAAATGGA